TGAAAAACCACAGTAGCTTTCTTCGGCATCCTGCTTTAACCATATCCTCCAAAGACGAAGAATCTGGAACCCGAGAAGCAGGAATGCATGGGGTGGAGTAGAGGTGCTGGAAGGAGGGACACAAGTCTTCCAGAGATAGCCAACAAGCCCCCCCCGTCATCTGTTCCCCAGGCAGCTGTCCTGTGCTTCTCCACTCCACATCCGACTCGGGACAGAAAATATACACAGCAGCTTCCTGCCTTCAAAGCAGCATTGGCACTGCCAATTCAACACAGCGTTCTGGTGATGGAGCCTAAAAAGCAAGCGGCCAACATTTCAGCTCTTTCCAGTTGTTCAAAAAGGTGGGAAAGAGATTCCTCGGTTCATTTCTGAATATATCCACATTCCTGAGACACACACCACGGGCAAAGAGATGGAGTGGGGGGCAGGGCAGGTTCCCACGGGGGCTGGAATCATGTGGCGGCTGTTCCCGGCACACAGAAGGACCAGGCAATACACGTTCTGTGAATGATGTATGCAGGGGTTTTTTGCAAAGCACACACATCAAGGACCAGTTAGATCGCTGCACAGATGCAGTCCCAGCAACAGCAGAAAACCCAACGACCACAGTGCCGGAAGTAAGTGCCCATTCACACTGGGTGAGCTTGTCCTCATCAGCACAAAGACTGAGCCAAGCAACTGTGATTTCTATGCAGAGACTTTCATTTCAGCAAAAAGTTTTCACTTGGCATTTCTTTTTTCCAGGAGACATTTAGGGAAGGAAATTTATTTTAAACAATTTTTGAGAAAACACTGTCATAAAGTTTTGATCTAAGAGAACTGTGACATTTCTTCCCCACTAGAGCAATCCCCGAAAGCAACTCTTGAAAGCTTTAGGTAAAAGAATTGTGTACAACGGTTAACGAGATACTGTGTCACATTCTCTCTGAGTCTTGTCATCCTTAAATTAAGGCTGCTTTCCTTCCTTAGCTAAAATGCTGTTACTAAAATCTTAGAGTTTAGTAATCAAGCCTTTAAGACTCATATGCTAGTCGTTATTATTTATTTATCTATTTATTTTAATGAGAAACGAAACATAAAAGAAAACAAAGCATACTGATTTAGTATATAATGCTGAATCACCACAGTATCATGCTGCTTGCTGATGTTTAGTTGCTAAGTCATTTCTGACCCTTCTGCGACCCCAAGGACTGTAGCCCACCAGGCCCCCCTGTCTATGGGATTTTTTGGGCAAGAATACTAAAGTGGGTTGCCATTTCCTTCTCCAGGTGATCTTCCCGACCCAGGATCGAACTCGAGTCTCTTACGTCTCCTGCATTGGCGTGTGGATCCTTTACCACTGAGCCACATGAAGAAGCACAGTATAAAGTACAGAAAGCCTTATAAGAACTACACAATGGATGTTTAATGATTGTACCAAATATAATTATAATGGTGGACCCTTCCCCAAGATCTCTGACCCAGATCCTAAAGGTGATTATGCCAGTACTTTCTTTCAGCTCACAATATGGTAAATTATGTTTTTTGTTTATTCACCCACCCTTTACTGCAAAGTCACTCATTGCCAAGGACCAGCAATTCTGTGGCAAGAAAGTTTTAACATAGCTTCCAGGGAAACAGAAAAGAACTGAGCAAGGATAACAAGGTCTGCACCCCATCACAGTGCTTACCTAGAACTGAGGAGTCAGGGCAGGCCCTCCAGATAAAGACCTGTGCATAAGAGGATGTGGTACAGAAATGCAGGACAAGTCAGCAGGCATGGACCACAGAGGACAGGCAGGTTTGGGGGTGGAAACCATGTTCAGAGGGGCCAAGTCACATCACGAAGGGCCTTGCAAATTATGCTGGAAAGTACAAAGTTCATCTGAAAGCCAATGGAAGCCATTGAACAGATGGACAAAGATGAGTAGAAAAATCATGTCTACGTGTAGGCAAATCCACCCTGGCTGTTGTTGGGCAGGTAGAGGTTAGTTGAGGGCTGGGGAGGAGACAAGGGCAGAGGCAAAGAGCCCAGTGAGCAGGGGGAGGGCAAGTGTTGTGAAGATGGGGAAATATCGGGCTGTTGTTACCTCTTCTGGGAAAACCCTAATAGACTTTTTGGTTAACCCAACATCTAGGTGTTAAAACAGACAGAACTTAATGAGCTAATCCTTTTGATTCTGTGTGAAGCTTTAGCTTTGAAAATCCTGCTGCTTCCCTTCAGAGGAGAGAAAATCAGAGGCAAGAGAAGGATACTATCAGATAACAACAGATCAACAAAAAAAGAACAGTGCTTTTTTACTCTGCACATAATAAAATTTCAGGTGCGTAGAGTCTAGTTTCTGGAACTAGCACTATTTACCATACCATTTCAATGATACCTATCATGTCGGGATCAATAAAAGTCCCTTAGAAGTATCACCCTGTCCCCACCGGTGGTCGGCTCCTCCTCTAAGTACCCTAACACCAAGCAGAGAGTTCAGCACACGCAGCTCAATGCGTGTTAGTTTAGTGGAAATGAAGGGTAATTTGGGATGTCATTAGGTCAAATGTGTCAGGCCTACCAAAACTACCTAGCATAAAAATAGGTCTCTGGCGCTACATTTTATTTAGAGAACAAATCGCAGCAGAAAATGGAATTTTCTGAATGGAAAGATAAAGGAGGACAACCACTGAAAAGCAGCCAGAAGAAATGCTTGAGAGAGATATTAAGCGTTCCCAGCCAGACACTGATGGCTGTGAGATAAAAATAACAGGTAAACTGACACACATGGGGAGTGGAGCTGATTCAGTCTAGGAGTGGAGGATGATGGCTCATGAAATGAGAAAGGCCCAAAAATAGTTCCCACCAAGAACAGAATCCACTTGTGCCCAGAGCAAAAGGGGAAGCTGGTTACATATTACAGGGGTAATAGCCCTAGATTGGGAGTTCCAGGATGATACGTTAGTCCTTGGGTAATCAGATCTGCCATCTTTCTTCAAAAATCCAAGGTTATGTTTTTTTTTTAAAGACATGGAGATTTTGACTTGTTTCAACTCACCATTAAATCTCCAATTCTTATGTAGTACAGTGGCTGACACATAATAAACTCAGGAGAGGTAATCAGTGAACATTAAATGAATGTTTCAATGAATCGGTTTATTCATTTGAAATTCTTAGGTGCTCTCATTATCTTACTTTCCATTTCCTCTTAAACATATAGGATGAACTCCTTCCAGCTGGAAAATTACATTTTTTTTCATCAGAATTAAACCCTGCATTACCTTTTTCAAGGATTCAACTGTCCTAATTCCTTCTTTTCATGCCATTTTCCCAAATAAGCACATACACACGCTTATAATCACATGCATTTTTTCCTTTTAAATTTCTCATAAACCTTGGCTACTCTAAACCTGAGTCTCCCCGATTCTGTCTTTACAGATCTGTGACCTCTGTGTGCTTTTGCCCTTGACCATAAGACCTTCCTTTAATATCCTGTACACACAGCTTTATAATCTAATCCTAACAAAAATTTTCCATTGCAGCCAAATTCATTCTCTTAATTGTTCTTCCCTATCTTCACTGTGATTATTCATATTTCTATTATCAAACACATACCCATTCATGTGCAAAAAATCAGACTTCCCTCTTTCTGCAAATTTTAGATAGTGAATTTCCTAGGTTGCATAAGTGACTATGATTTTCATTTTTAGTTTTCTGCACCCTTGTCTCCCAAACTATCCACCATTTTTCATCATTAGCAAGGATTTCCTCAAGTAGAAGGAGCATCAAAACAAAAGTGCTCTTTGCCTTCTCTCTCTCTGGAATATGAAATTGTTATCAAGCAGAGAATTAATATGCTGTCCTGCTTTTTTAGTAAGGTGTCTTTTCCAGGAGCTGTCTAGTTCACTCAATTTCTCTATCATTATAATACGACCTGCCTTGACATCCATTTCTTAATGTGCATCAGGAAACCACTGTCCACATTCCCTATTTGGCAGGAAGTCTATACTATATTTTCTCAACACCCCACTTCTGCTTCTGCTTTTGGCTCTACTCCAAAAACTGTCCTATGCATTCATCATGAAGTCATTAGATTTGCCAAAAGATGCACACCATCCAATCCCACACTGCACTGCATCTTCTATTTGAAGTGTCATGTTACTTATACCAACTTCTCTATTTTCCCTGCATAAGCAACCGATAAGGGGGCTTCCCAGGTGGCACTAGTGGTAAAGAATCTGCCTGCCAATTCAGGAGACACAAGAGATGCAGATTCGATCCCTGGGTCAGGAAGATCCCCTGGAGGAGGAAAAGGCAACCTACTCCAGTATTCTTGTCTGAAAAATTCCAAGGGCAGAGGAGTTTTGTGGGCTACAGTCTGTGCATCCCTTTCCATCTGAAGTATCATGTTAGATCAACATCTCTACTTTCCCTGCATGAGTTTCCTCATCTAATGGAGGAAACTTGCTCAATTGCTCAATTATTTTAAAAGGAAGCTATAATTTGCACATAATAATTAGCAGAATTATTCCCAAAGAAGTTGCATGAGAGGTTACACTATACCAGAATTAATTGAAAATAGAGACAAATTTATGTCAAAATCGTGCTTATGTTTCTTGATATTTAAACAGCGAGGGGTCTTAAACAAATGCTTAGTGATCATAAGAAACTTTCAAACTCTAACAAAGGGATCATTGAATTCTATTGTGTGTGTTAGTCGCTTAGTCGTGTCTGACTCTGCAACCCCATGGACTGTGTCCCACAAGGCTCCTCTGTCCATGGAATACTCCAGCAAGAACACTGGAGTGGTTTGCCATTTCCTTCTCCAGGGGAACCTTCCCAACCCCTGGACTGAACCCAGGTCTCCCGCATTGCAGGTAAATGCTTTACCATCTAAGCTGCTAGGGAAGCTCTTTCATTCCATTACGACTAATGAACTGGACAATAAGTAGCTAGTCAAACTTAAAATCAACCTAATTTTTTACTGATTCATCAAACTAATGATACTTCAAGTCTGAGTATTCCAAAGAATACTTACAAGCTCATTGCCATCAGTAGCCATGTATGACGTCAGATTGGTAGAAACAAAAGCTAGAAGAGAAAAAAATCTTCAGTTAAATGTTGGAGTAAATCATTCTTAAAAGTATATATCTTCTTGACAGGAAGAAAAGCATTTGCATTTTGATTGATGTTTTCACAATAAAAGCAATTCATTACAAGGCCTTTTAATTCAGAATAAGCCAACTGTTAAAAACAGAGTTCATAAAATAAGTCAGAATTTTAATTGCACATGTGCCAGTATTTCTTTCAAGTATACAGCAATATGTATTTTATATATATATTTTATCTACTTAATATTGTACTATGGGCTTCCCTGGTGACTCAGCGATAAAGAATCGGCCTACAATGCAAGAGACACAGGTTCCATCTCCGGGTCAGGAAGTCCTCCGGGAGAAGGAAATGCAAACCTATTTCAGTATTCTTGCCTGGGAAATCCCAAGGACAGAGGAGCCTGGCTACAGTCCATGGGGTGGCAAAGAGTCAGACATGACTGAGCAACTAAACAACAACAATATTGTATCATACATAAACATACATTTTTGAAAAGTGAAAATATTTTCATCTTAATGATGAAAAACATAATGTAAGATGTGGACATATCTGATCCATTACTGTTGTTCTGATGGTATTAACTGAACAATTTCAAAAATGTAACCAATCCCTCAGCCTCAGAAATCTCAACTTTAATATGAAGATGAGCCCCCTTTGATGTATTGCACTTTGTAGTGGATTACCTGAGAAACAAGACACTCTGGTTTCAAGAAAAGAAGATGAAAACAAAAAGAAGAAAATCTCATATCCTCAGACTACGAAAAAAAACTCACATCTTCAAACTTTGATAAGCGACAAACTTGTTAAACATCCGCAAGCCGCTGAAACTCTCTGCAAAGCAAAGAGCCTTTCACCTCTTCCCACTGACAGATCCATACCCCATGTGACTTTATTTCTTATACAAATGGTTCCCAAATTCTGAAAAATGCATAGCCCTTCTTTATGTCAAAAATGCCATATTTATATTACATAGATATGAATAATACATTTATTTGTAAAATGTCAAAGATAAAAACCACAATAAAAAAAGACTGACCAATTTACTTAATTTTTAACTCACTTATTTAAAAAATACAGTAAAACATAAATGGAAAATCAAATCACTGGCTGGTGAAAACATTTGCAATATTCATTTAATACATAAAAGTCATAGCATAAAGAGTTCTCTTATTCACCAATAAGAAAATAATAAATAGACTGGGAGATCAAGGTGTAGTAGAAGGACGTGGAGCTCACCTCCTCCCACAAATACATCAAAAATACATCTACATGTGGAACAGTTCTCACAGAATACCCACAGAATGCTGGTTGAAGATCTCATAGAACCAACGCTGCAAGAAAGACCACCGGATAATTGGGTAGGATGAAAAGACAAAAGAAAGAAGCTTGAGATGGACCTGAGCTATGAAAGCGTCTCTCACACTGGGACCCCTCAACCAGATATGGAGTTGCAAGAGACACAGGTTCCATCTCCGGGTCAGGAAGTCCTCCGGGAGAAGGAAATGCAAACCTATTTCAGTATTCTTGCCTGGGAAATCCCAAGGACAGAGGAGCCTGGCTACAGTCCATGGGGTGGCAAAGAGTCAGACATGACTGAGCAACTAAACAACAACAATATTGTATCATACATAAACATACATTTTTGAAAAGTGAAAATATTTTCATCTTAATGATGAAAAACATAATGTAAGATGTGGACATATCTGATCCATTACTGTTGTTCTGATGGTATTAACTGAACAATTTCAAAAATGTAACCAATCCCTCAGCCTCAGAAATCTCAACTTTAATATGAAGATGAGCCCCCTTTGATGTATTGCACTTTGTAGTGGATTACCTGAGAAACAAGACACTCTGGTTTCAAGAAAAGAAGATGAAAACAAAAAGAAGAAAATCTCATATCCTCAGACTACGAAAAAAAACTCACATCTTCAAACTTTGATAAGCGACAAACTTGTTAAACATCCGCAAGCCGCTGAAACTCTCTGCAAAGCAAAGAGCCTTTCACCTCTTCCCACTGACAGATCCATACCCCATGTGACTTTATTTCTTATACAAATGGTTCCCAAATTCTGAAAAATGCATAGCCCTTCTTTATGTCAAAAATGCCATATTTATATTACATAGATATGAATAATACATTTATTTGTAAAATGTCAAAGATAAAAACCACAATAAAAAAAGACTGACCAATTTACTTAATTTTTAACTCACTTATTTAAAAAATACAGTAAAACATAAATGGAAAATCAAATCACAGGCTGGTGAAAACATTTGCAATATTCATTTAATACATAAAAGTCATAGCATAAAGAGTTCTCTTATTCACCAATAAGAAAATAATAAATAGACTGGGAGATCAAGGTGTAGTAGAAGGACGTGGAGCTCACCTCCTCCCACAAATACATCAAAAATACATCTACATGTGGAACAGTTCTCACAGAATACCCACAGAATGCTGGTTGAAGATCTCATAGAACCAACGCTGCAAGAAAGACCACCGGATAATTGGGTAGGATGAAAAGACAAAAGAAAGAAGCTTGAGATGGACCTGAGCTATGAAAGCGTCTCTCACACTGGGACCCCTCAACCAGATATGGAGTCTCAGGGGCTCAGAGGAGGACGCAGTGGCCAGCCTGCAGGAGCAGGGCAGAGAGAAACGTGCCCAGAAGATCCTGGCCACCTCACTGCACGCTCCAGCCATAGATGCATCCCTGGTGGAGGGCATGGTGGGGGCTGACTGCTGGTACACGGGACTGCAGCAGACAGACCCAGGCAGAAGATTTGGTTTGGATGCAAAGACAATCCCAAGGGCCTCAAGAATGATCCAGGCCTTTGGGGACCCGATTTGTCAATGCACATGCGAAGGGAGTGGCGTGGGCCCGCCCCCCCCAGAGCAGCTTCATCCTCAGCTTGCTCACAGAGGGTACAGCTCCACTGCTACAAGCTCTGGGAACACATAAGCACGTGTGGGTGGCCCACACGCAGGGTGGGGCTGAAATCTGAACTGATTCCTGGTGGGTGCGTGACTTTCACAGAAGATTCACGCCGCTGGCAGCTTCCGGAGCACAGCACCGGAAGGACTTCCAAGCTGACTTCCGGCTTTTCCTTTGCTGAGGCGGGGCAGAGGGCAGTTTCAGCGACACTGTGCTTCTTGAGCACGCACAAGGGTGACAGAGAATATCACAGAGAGCATGTCCCAGTGGATAGCTCTGGCAGAAGAATACCCACGAGCTCCTTTATCAGCAAAAGTGCGCCAGTCCTGCCTACCTCACACCGCAGCTTTGAACCAGATCTGAGAGCTGCTACTCCAACACCTGGAGAACGGGCCCCGCCCTTGACAGAGCTATGACAACGGCAGAGCAAAGAGGAGACCCCTCCAACACCCAGTGCAGCCTCTGGTCACCACAGCATAACCTTCACCCCCTAAAAAGGGGTACTGGCTAGCACACCCCCAAAGAACGATGTGGCAGGTACCATACCAAAAGCAGCCCTGGCATCAATCAGACTCATATAGACTGTTCCCCACATAACAACAGCAGTTCAGGTCCTTCAACAACAACAGGTCCTTCAGGGCTACAACAGATAACTGTTTCCCCTAAACTGAGTCACAGAAGTATAACTAAAATGAAGGAGCAGAGAAACTATTCACCAACGAAAGAACAAGAGAAATCGCCTGAAAGACCAAATAATTCAAACAGGCTTTTTCAGTTTACTAGACCCTGAGCTCAACAAGGAAGTAATACAAATCCTGAGGAAATTAAGAAAGATTATTGCTAGAAATAGGGATCACTGTAACAAGGAACTAGAAACTATAAACAGGAGCCAGCTAAAATTAGACAACTCAATTGCCAAGATGAAAACTGAGCTAAAGGCAATAAATAGCAAACTAAACAATACCAAACAAAAAAAGTGACCTAGAAACCACCCAATCAGAAGAGAAAACAGATAGAAAAAAGAAAAAAAAAAAGAAGGCAACATATGAGACCTATGAGATAATATAAAGCATGCCAATCTACACATAATAAGGGTAACAGAAGGGAAAAAAAAGAGAAAAGGGAATCAAAAATGTATTTGAAGAAATTACACCTGAAAACTTCCCAGACCTAAAGAAGGAAACATATCCAGACACAGGGAGAAAAGGAAGGAAAAAAGTCAGAAAGAGGAAGTAAAAAAGCAATCTCTTTGAAAATCATGTCAAAAAAATAAAATACCTTGAAATAAACTTGATTAAGGAGATGAAAGACTTATACACTGAGAATTATAAAACATTGATAAAGGAAACTGAAGCCAATTCAAAGAAATGGAAAGATACCCATGCTCTTGGATTGAAAGTATTATTATTAAAATGACCATACTGTCCAAAGCAATCTACAGATTCAATGCAATCCCGATAAATAACCCATGACATTTTTCACAGAATTAAAACAAACAATCCTAAAATTTATATGGAACCACAAAGTACACAGAATTGCCAAAGCAATCCTAAAGAAAAAGAACAAGAAGCAAGACTCTCCCAGACTTCAGACAATACTACAAAACTACAGTAACCAAAATAGCATGGCAATGACATGAAACCAGACACATGGGTCAATGAAACAGAATAGAGAGTCTAGAAACAGACACACAGACCTATGGTTGATTCATCTTTGACAAGAGAATCAAGAATATACAATGGAGAAAAGACAGTCTCTTCAGCAGGTGTTGCTGGGAAAGCTTGACAGCTGCATGTAAATCAGTGAAGTCAGAACACTCCCTCACACCATGCACAAAAATGAACTCAAAATGGATTAAAGACTTAAATGTAAGGCTAGAAACTATAAAGCTCTTAGAGGAAAACATAGGCAGTACACACTTTGCCATAAATCACAGCGAGATCCTCTTTTGACCCACCTCCTAGAATAACAGAAATAAAAACAAAATAAGCAAATGGGACCTAATTAAACTTAAAAGCTTCTGCAATAAACAATAAACAGGAT